CGTGGGGCTGAGGGTTTGTTCGCCCTGTCCGCAGCCAGAGAAGTTCCTGGGGCTTGGGTGGCGGGGTCCTGATGCATGTGCTGCCCTCAGGGAGTAGCTGGGAAATACCTGGCTCTCTCCGCGCGTTTCAGCTGGGAACCGTGGCGGTGTGGGCTAGCACAGACTCGAGCCCAGGTGTCTAGCCACTCTTGGAACACTGGCTCTCGCTGCGCAGGGCGCGTGGGGCTGAGGCCTTAAATCTGAATTTTAAGAATGAGCATCTGACTTCTATATTATAACTGCCAAGTGTTTTCCTGTCCTATAGTTAAAAAGTTAGAAAGCATATGAAAATGTATATATCCTGTTACAACTTTCAGGGGGATGATTGTGGTATGTATCAAGAACTTCACTGTATATTACTTTGCACATTTTATTTCTAGAAAGTTACTTTAAGAATATGATCAGATGTGCACAAATATTTTGTGTATAAGGATACTCAATAGAAAACTTAACAGTTGTAAAATTTTTTATTAAAAAAGTTAAACTACAGCATAGAAGATTCATTGTGTGAAGGAAATACTGAAGTATGTTAGAAATCATGTTTGTGAAGAATTTTTTTATATTCTTCATAAGAAATTCTTCCTTTCTTTCCCTGTTCTTTTTTTTATTATTTTTTTTAAAATAAAAAAAAGAAATTCTTATGTGGAAAATGTCATTACATGACATTACATGAATAAAATAGGGAATAAAATGTGTATAATATAATCCTAATTTTGTTTGAAAAAGCACACATTTATGTGTGTAGGGTACACACATGTGGGGGACACAGCTAATAAAGGTTTGTTTTTTAATCATTAAAAATGCCAGTTTGTATTTTTCAAATGTGAAAGAAGGTAACCAATAGATTGGAAATAAACTATTTCCTAGTGTGAACCGGGGCCCTCAAACAATCTCTGGTATAGGGCCAGGTTTTAAAATTTCTAGTACAGTGTGCACTTCTGCATGGTCTTGCTGCATGTGGCTAGAATGATGCTCATGCTGTGTGCATCATTTGACAGCACCTGAGCACCTATGCTCCCTTCACCAAGGTGTGTCCATCCATCACGGACTTGAACGTCATAGCCATATCAGATTGTTGTAAGTTTCCAAACATTTGCTTTCAATTTCTCTGCTCATTTTTTCACATAATTGCAAGACTGTAGCAGAGTGAGTAATACTAGTATAGACCCCTTTTCTGGAGGAGTTGGCACTAGGGGACAGGTAGTTGGAGGTAATGCCTACCGTATATTTGGAAGTGCCTTTTGCTTACTGAGAACAGAGCTCCTCTATAACTTAGAACTATTTTGTACAATTCTCCATCATTTATTTTGTCACAGTTGACCCCGCCTGGTCTCACTCAGGTTTGCTGTGTCTCTGCCTCTATTTGTGCAGGTTATGGCTTGGAAGTGGACATGTGGGCTGCAGGCGTGATCCTCTATATCCTCCTGTGTGGCTTCCCTCCATTCCGCAGCCCGGAGCGGGACCAGGATGAGCTCTTTAACATCATCCAGCTGGGCCACTTCGAGTTCCTTGCGCCTTACTGGGACAATATCTCTGATGGTGAGATCTGAACTGCCTTATGCAGGAGAGAAAAGGAGGTGGCGCTGAGATGCCCCTTAGGTTCTGACACAAAACAGGCTTTCAGATGTGTGATAAGCCACACAGAAAGTGTCTGGCATGGGGCTGGACTGCAACATGTCATGCCTAAACCTTTCCTCAGCAGTTTCGTGGAAGTTTGTGTAGCATGTCCAAAGCATGACTTACTTTGAAATTTAAAGAGACAAAGCTGACCACCAGTTGCAGTCATCAAGTACTTTTCCTTAAGGCAATTAAAGAACCTCAGAACTGGAAAATATCAGAAACAGTTCTCCTTTGGAAAGAGAAAGGCCATCTTATATACAGAAATAAAATAGACTGAATAAAATAAAATAGACTGAAAATGTGAATAATCAAGAGTCTTGGGGCATATTTAGAGCATGTAGGCTCCGCAAGGAAAGGGGTGAAGGTCCCCATTATTTGCATGGGGTCCTCAATTCCATTTGATTCTAAATGTAATCTTTCCCTGGTCTCACTGATTTGTTTTAATTCATATTGCCACTGTAAAATTGAGAACTAGATACTTTGGGCTTTTGAGTCTTTGAATCTTTAGTTTAAAAAGTAGGAGTGATGCACGCCCTCCTCACTTCCCCTGAACATGCCATTTGTAATCGGTTACTGAATTTCTCCCATTCCTACCCTCTGTCTCCTCACTGAGATCGGGGGCTGAGGGGAGGGAAAAGCCTCCTTTCCTCCCTTGAGCAAGGTAAGGAGAGGCATGCTTTGCTGAACACAGAGCGAGGGTCTTGGTCATGTCAGGATCAGGTTGGGAGATGAAGGACAGAACAGCATTTTGGGAAGTCCTGTGTACCTCTGTCCTTAGATTTGGGCAGTCCATGCTACACAAGTTCAAGGCCAGCATGAACTACATATCTAGACCCTGTCTCAAAAAAATAAAATATAAAAAATAAAGAAATGTGCAGGAAAAAAATCCACTTTTTTCTTTTTAACCTTTACTGAGGGATGCCTCTTGCTCAAGATCAGCTGCTCACCTGTCAGTCACCCCCCGACACCCACTATCCAGCTATCTCCTGAGCACAGAAGCCCCAGGATTTCTCCTCCAAAACCACCCAGTTCAGGCCAGGCAAATTCTGCCCGCAAGTGCCCGGGTCCCACTGCTGCCGGAATCACTCCTTCAAGATCCTCAGAGGACTCAGACACTGGAAGACCGGATTGAAGCTGATAATTCCCAGGCCCTCATGCATGTGTGTGGGCAGTCAGACACTGTGCCCCAGGATCTCTCTGTGTCCTCCAGCCAGCCAGCCATGCCCACCCTTTGGTGCAATAGCTTGTGCCATTGGTACAGGAAATTCTGAGATTCTGATGAAGTCTAAAAGAGAGAATCTGGGCTTTGGGGCGTGGGGGCACATCCCTGTGGCCGTACCGTCTCCTCACTCTGGGGATAGTGTAATGGGAACAGGACCCTTTAAGGCATGAGGACCAGAACAGAGGCCACCCATGGACGGGTCTCGAACTTGAGGAAATGCTTCCACCTCAGCCTCCTGAGTGCTGGGATTGCAGTCATGTACCAGCGTGCCTGGATACTTGTGCATTTTTTGAGTGATTGGAAGAGCAGACTTCTCGAGCCAGGCTGGACGAACCAGCAGGCCAGGCGAGGATCCTTTCTCCTCTCCACTGTCACCTGGCCCACCAGGTATCACCACATCTCTCTAGGATAAGCCATGGTCCTGGGCAGAAAAGAAAATTAATTTTGAATTTGCACTATTTACTGCTTAGATTTCTTTATAGAATTCATCTGTTCAATTTTGTCCATATGTAGACATATTTAGCAACTTAAGAGTCAAACTATATTAGTAAAAAACTTGTTAGTTTGCGTTAAAATGGTAAAGCATATAGAGCTCTAACATGTAGCCTCCATTTGTATTCTTCATGTGGGTCCTAGATGTGGCCTGGACTCCGTGATTCTGGAGAAATGAACAGACATACATACTCTGGAGCTGGGCTGTACCACATAGTACTCTCTGGCTACACATAGGTAAATTTAAATGTGGATCCTTTCAAAGAAAATAAAATAAAAATCCGATTCCTCAGTCTCACTAGCTAGGTTTCAAATTCTCTGTAGTCACATGTGGATAGCGTGGGTCTAGAGTGTTTCCTTTTTGAATTGGATTGCACTGCAGTAGATGATGAAAGAACATGGGTGTGTGTGTTCTTCTTTCATGTATGGGGAGGGAAGATTCAGAACCACCTCCGTTCACCACACTTGCCCCTCTTCCTTTCACCCTCACAGCTGCCAAAGATCTGGTAAGCCGGCTGCTGGTGGTGGATCCTAAAAAGCGCTACACGGCCCATCAGGTTCTTCAGCATCCCTGGATTGAAACGGCTGGAAAGATGAGCAAGGCGAACCTCCAAAAGGAAGTGACCCCCAGCAGCGAGGGCCACACTCGGAGCCAGCACAAGAGGGCTGTGGAGCAGGCACTGTAGTCACTGCCTTGGGCCTGGGTTCTGCTCTAATTCTGCTTGAGGATGGAGAAAAGGGTGGAAGTCTGGGAGAGAAAGAGTCAGAGAGGCTTCTTCGCATAACTCGACAACCAGGAGAGATGCACAGTGTATTTTAAAATGTATTTAAAAAATATACTGAGGCCTGATGTTAAATGTGACATATTTTTAGATTTTTAGATCTAAGGCGTTTAGTATAATTCTGTTGGTTTTTTTGGGGGAAGAGTTGTCATCAGTGAGAAATTTTTGCTAATCATTTTGCTTCCTCCTTGTAACCAAGTTTGTGGTGTACTACATGAGTGGTGCTTTCTAGTGTCTAAACTCCCCCAGACAGTTGTTAAGGTGAATCATAGTCTTTCTGTGTTAATAAAATATGCTCTGAATAACACACATGGGTATGTATTCTGCTCACTTCTTAATGTTCGTGATGAGAGCTGGGGAGTTACATTTCAGATGTGTCTCCCAAAGCCAAGACGACTACCTATGAATGTGGCGGACACTTGATTAATTGCCAAGATCTGTTTATATTTTGGATGTGTCAGTGAAGTTCTCTGACATTTCACTCTGACCCAAAATTAGATCTGGTGCAGTCTGAAAAATGGAAAGAAGAAATACCGTCTCATAATTGCCTCTGCTATGTCCAGTTGTACTGTTTTCCAGTCCCGTTATCCCTGAGCCCAAGTCTCTTCTCTGTGAAGCCAGGTGCTCAGACTGTCTGTGTTCAGTTTCAGATCACAGGGGAACCATTTACATCACTAACTTGTCAGAGCTGCAGAACATATATTAAACAGCGGCTTGAAGGAACTCCCAAGTTTGGGCACATTCCCACTTGTAGGGCATACACACAGAGGGCACAGAACATGTGTTCCAGATTTCAGATGACTCTGGGAGAACATATGCCCAAGCAGAACATATCCTGATATTCTCCACATAGCCCCGTCCACATTATGTTTAACCTGGTCGCAGTGAGTCTTCTCACCTGTGTTCTGCCTTCTCTGTCCATTTTGAAGTCATCTACATGGAGAAGTGTATGAGTCAGGACAACAAGAGCAGTACTAGAGAATTTGGTTTGTTTGTTTTTTTTTGTTTTGCTATGCAGTTCAGGCTGGCATTGAACTCACTTTGTAGCCCAGGATGACCTTGAACTCCCAGCAATCTTCCTGCCTCAGCCTCCCAAGTGCTGAGATTACAGGCATATGCCACCACACCTGGCAGAGAATTTGGTAAAAGGAATATTTTAAACAGGTATTAGAGGATGAAAAACTACAAAGACGGCTCTGCAGTAATTTAGAGATAAATAAAGTAGCTTCCATCCAAGATAAAGACCCAAGGGAAGAGGCTCAGGTTATGACTGCCTAGAAGCTTGGGGAACGAACTGCTTGAGGTGGACATTGCAATATGCCACCCAGATCTTCCTTCTGAGCTGAAAGGAATAAGCTTCTTAGGATGTTGCTATCTGACAGCCCTCAGCTGTACAGGAATTGCCCACAGCTGGGAAGAGCTGGCTCACAGACCTTTCCTGGGGCGTGCCTCATCCACTAATTCACCTCTGTAGGGAATGAAGGCCTCAGCTGGAGATGACAATGAAGGACCTTCTAGCTTCCGAGCTCTCCTGAGTGACTGCATCACAGCTCAACTTCTCCCTGCACAGTTTTGCTTCTTTCCTGCCTCTCACAGAGATGATGAACCTGATAATGCTCCCTACCAAGCTTTTGCATGTAATTTGGGTCTCAGAGTGGTTTGCCAGGGAATCAAGTGCATGGCACCTTCTAGAAACCTGGAACTTCTGCAAAGAGATGCCAGCTGGTGCTTTAGGCCTAGAAGCTCAGAGAAGCGGCCCTGTGGAGCTGAGAGGCAGGCCTTGTGCAGAGGGGGTTGCCTGGCAGACAGTGCAATGGTCCTCATTCGGAAAATATGAAAGAGGCTGGAAGCTGAATCTTATTTGTACTGCAACACGTTTTGATAAAGGGACCAGTGTCATGAAATCCAAAACAATTTTCAGACTTCATGTTACTATAATTTGACTCTATTGATCACTCTTTGAGTTATTTCTGCTGCTGAGAGTTATTTCTGGAGCTCGTTGCAGTCTGAGCTCACAGGGTGCCTCTTCAGAGAATCTGCCTCCCTAGACATCTTTGTTTTACTCCCCTAACAGCATCCTCACTATCAGGAATGATTTTATTTGGGTCTTTTTTTATCTGCTTTTCTGTTCACTAACCTCCACTAGAATGTAAACTCCAGGAGGGAAGGAACCTTCTGTGATGTCATATTTTCCTGGTTTTTCCCCTACCTCCTTGTCTGCCTCTTTGGATCCCATCAGTTCAGCCTTCCAGTCACTAAAAGGTGCACTTCCATTCTTAATCATTCAGAAAAATGCAAGTTGAATTCAAATGAGCTATCACTACGTACCCATTAGAATGGCCAAAATGAAAAGACTGACCATACCGATTATCACTGAGAATGTAGAAAAACTGGAATTTTTGTACATTGCTGGTTGGAATATATGGGTAATAGTTTCTTTTTTCTTTTTTTTTTTTCTGGTACCGGAAATCAAACTCACAACCTTGCGCTTGCCAGGCAAGTGCTGTGCTGCTAAGCTAAATCCGCAGCCCCATGGGTAGCAGCTTAGAAACCCCTTAAAGGTTAAATATATACCCATCATATGATTTGGCCATTCTACCACTAGTTATCTACCTTGGAGAAATTAAAGAAGGTCTTACAAATATTTCGCAGTATTTCATAGGTGCTTTATTTGTACTTTAGTAGCCTAAAAATGGAGATACCTGGAACATATATAAATTGGTGAATGGGTAAACATATGGTGGTATCTCAGTACAATTGATAATTTTCATCCATAAGAAGGAATGAACTACTGATGCATGAACCACAGGAATGAACTTCCAAACAATTAGGCTGAATCAGTGAAATCAGACCAAAAGCAAAGCAAAACACAACACCCTAAAGCAAACCAAATGAAATCATGTTAATTATTACATTGATATATATTCTACAAAATGCCAACTAATCTATGGTGATGGAAGGCAGAGCAGGTGTTGCCTTAGGGCAGAGATGGGGAGAGTAGGGAAGAAGTGATTACAAAGGGACCCCTTTTCCTTGGGAGTGGTGGATCTGTACATTATCCTGACTGTAGTAACAATCCATAGGCATATATATGTCAGAACTTATTAACTTGAATAGTTTTGGTATGTGCAATTTGTTGTGTGTCTGTTATACCTCAATAAATCTGTGAAAATATGGTGGCAGTTCCTCAAGGTCCAGTCGTGGATTATCTTCTCCCTTGCTGTATTTCCCCCAGGGCAGTGTTATCTACACTCTCCATTTATTTGTGGGTGATTCTCTTCTCCTTGACTTCCTTTATGTCTTCATTCAAGGCTCCTCCTCTACATTGTAGTCCCATCTGTCCAGCTGCCTACGTGACATGACCTTGTGTAGGCATCGGCTTCTCTTGGGCAGATGGATAATCATCTTCCCCCCAAGTGGTCCTCCACCCAGATTCCCTCTCTCGGGGAATGGTGCTGCTGAGCAGGCTCAACACACCGGCATCACTCTTGATGTTTTGGTCTATCTCTTGAGTCAAGCTCATCCCAGTGATTTTACTTCCTCAGTGTCACTTGAATCTCTCCACTTAACTTGTTTGGTTTTTGTCCTGGTGGACATTCAGGCTGTTTCTCCCTGATTTTCATTATTTATAAATGTGCTGTGTTTACCTTACTATATGTATTCCTTGTGTACATGTTGGAGAATTCCTCTTAGAGAAAATCTTTTACTTGACCAAATATTGCCAACTTGATTTTTAATTAATTTGTTCTTCCATAAAGAGGAATGAAATTTTTTCTTTCCTCTCATGGTTTGCTGTATGGTTCATCGATTGATTGCAGGGGATTGAACTGGGGATTGACCCATGTGTGTCTCACACATGCCAGGCAAGCACATTACCACGGAACTATATTTCCAGCTTTTTAATTTAATTTAATTTAATTTAATTTAATTTTATTTTATTTTATTACTACATATTCGCAGTACATGCATTTTACTATCATCCTGGGGAGTTGGTACATGTACATAAGACCATTTGATTCTCATTTTTAATCCCCTTCTCCCTCCCTTCCTCCCTTCTCCTCTAGTTGCACTTTTCCCCTTTTCATTCTTGTTGATATTGTCAATCTTAGTTCATGTTTACGGCATATAATGTCCCCACTCACTGATGGCATCTTTACCCTTTTCCACATCCCATTGCCCTTTGTCCCCTGGACCCTTTTCCCATGTGCAAGAGGTTCTTCCCCTTGTTTTGTTTTATCCTTCCTTTATTTTTCTCTTAGTTTGTACTTTGCCTCACTCAGATGAGAGATACCATGTGCTGTTCAAGTTTGTGTTATTTTATTTTATTTTATTTTATTTTTGAGACAGTGTCTCCCAAAGCTACCCAGGCTGGCTTTGAATTCATGGTCCTCCTCCTGCCTCAGCATCTCAAGTATTGAGCCCAGGGCTTGTATACACTGGTCAAGTACGTTATCACAGAAATACACTTTCAGCCCAGTCTCGCTTATGTAATACAAGAAGCATTGTTAATTTCCTACCACTTTGTAACTGTATTGTCTGTACTGTTCTTTTGCTATCTTATACAATGTTGTCTGTCTGTCAATGTTCTCCTCCCTTTATATTTAAAATAAAAAAAAATGCTTGGATACTACAATTTGGACACAATTGAGAAGTAACAACAGAAATGCTACATGCTAAACTTAGACAATTGTGCAGCATTTTATAGCTATAGGGGTGAATTTTACGTGTATCTCATTCCACCTCAAAGGCATCTACTTCCAGATGGGGAGACTGAGGCTCAGAGAAGTGACCTGGCCTGCCCATAGTCATTTGGTTTACTAAAAATGCCAGCTGCTAGATGTGGACTCCGGTGCTTAGCGATACCAGGCCTGCGGTTCCAAGCCCCTCCTATGCTTCCGACCTTGCTGGTGCCCTGGCCTACGTGACCTGGACTGTGTTAAGAACATAATCAAACCCACTGCTGCGACCTATAGGACCTATATGCTCTGGTTTTCACTACTGCTCTGATTTCATTTTCCACCATTTCCCTATTGTTGGCCCCGCTGTCATTACACAAACAGCGCTGTGACGTCTCACACGCAGCCATGTCCTGCCTTTGGAGGCCTTTGTACTATTTCCCCTCTCCAGGATGATTTTCTTCAGCTCTTTGAAGTCTCAGCTCACATGCTGACTCTTCAGAGAACCCGCCCCCTCCGACTTCCCCCATCCTTGCTTCAATCCCTTCACACCATCCTCACTATCAGAAATGATTTTTTTTTTTAATGTCTGTTTATCTGTCTGCTTCCTTCCACTTAAATGTAAGCTCCATG